CCATTGGAAATAACTGGCAACAAAGAAAAGTTTCATTCGCTGTTACGGTGTCAGACGAGGAACAAGACTGTGTTACTCTCGCAACGCACTGTTTGCTGGCGCTATTTTTGCACAGTGAAGCTATCACCTTGCAGGAAAATGAGAAAGTTGAATAATGAAACATTCAGCTTCTTCATGAAAATACAGTGCCTGTTCCACTGCCTGTGGCGGCCTAAGGAGGCCCTTGTACAAACAGGAGGAATAGGGTTGCTGTGAAAAGTCATGAAGAAACAGGTATGAAGCATGTTAGACAGTTGGCCAGATGGGAGGTAGGTGAGGGGCGGGGCTGATCCCTGGGACGCTGGATGATGAGCTTGGGGAGCGGACCGCGTGGCCTTTCCAGGGATGTTTTCCCAGCATTCCCGTGGCTGCCTGGGCCCACTTTCCTCTGGTGTATTTTGTCCTCTTCTTGTGTTAGGTCCTCAATGTTACCATCTTTTTATTTCCCTGTGTCACTCCTATTTCTTAGCTTTGACTTTTGAATGGTTTTGAGATTTTTCTTTTGAGGAGGATGCTTTTTCACAGCTTCTTTTAATTTTTTTTTTAAAAGCCAATGTCACACACAGCCTAAATGCTAAATAATACCGTATTTTTATTTTCATGTTATTTTATTTTATTTTTTTTTAGCTATTCAGTAAGTATTCTGATACTGGAAATATGATCTCTTGCCAATTGAGAATATGATTGCTTCAGGAAGAAATAGGTTTATGGTGAAACGATCCAAAGTCCCCTAATTGCTGTGTTTAGGTTGTAGATAAGTACCTGGTGGTTTCATTTACACATATTTAAGTTGCTGCATTGTTGGCGTCGGGTCCACAGTCCCTTTAAATTGCACTTAATGATGGCACTTACGCTTTTGTGTTAAGTTAGAAATAATGTGGGACCCAGATTCCGTGGTTATTGCAGCAGAAAGCCTGCGTCCCCTGCTGGCTGCTGGGAATCGCTTAACAGGGTTTTCTCACTCTACAGAAAGCCGTTCCTTGTCCGCTTAATTTTTATGATAAACCAGTTTTGGGGAATCTACGGATGGCATGTGAAGGCTGAGGATTGAGATGGGGCCTTCACTGTGAGTGCAGGCACAGGGTGTCTGCTTGGCGATTAGGCGAGGGGGCCTTTCTGGGATGGGTGGCCTGTGCCCGCGCTCGGAAGGCCCGTGGAGTGCGGTGCTTTTTGTTCAATATGCTCCATGGATATAGTGGCGTCATGAGGGGTTCCATGTCGCTAAGGATGGAAATGAGGCAAGTGGAGGACTAGTTACAGATGAGCTCCAAGCAGGTGGCGGGAGGAGGGGCGTTTGCAGGGCAGGGCCTCACGTGGCAGAGAGAGTCTGGCATCGCCAGGAAGCTTGTTTCCAGGGGCCCGCCGAGTGGAACTAGGGTTTCCGCCACCTGAAGGCTCATTTAGAAACAGCCTCTGTTTCAGGAGTGCAGCCATGACCAGGTGTGCCTCCTACTTAAGCGCAGTTTTCTCAGGCGCGATGTTGACAACCGAACGTGGTACGAGAAGAATGAGGGCGCTGATGAAAACGATCCCTCTCCCCAGGATGGCTTCAGTGCCCCGGGGTAACTGATTAGAGGACATTTTCTCAGAGGAGGCGGTGTCTGGTGCTTTTTAGTGTGGTCGCTTCAAACATTCACGGTGTGAAAAAAGGACCAGATCATCCCAGTAATTATTGGGCAACGTGTACGGAAAAGGACATGCGTTCGCGGGAGCAGAACGGGGCGCCACAGGACTCTGACCCTCTCGTGTGTATGACGTGACGGGACGTGTACTGTTCAGGCCTTCGTTCTGTGCGGTTTCTCAGTATTTGGGGATGGTTAGACGCTTGGAAGTGTTTTATTGTCACGAGGGACAGGTGCCCTTCGCCAGGCAGCCGGGCAGGACTGCGCGGGGATGCTGAGCCTCTAAGTGGCGGCCACCACTTGCACGGTCGCTTTTGTTTTTGCCCTTGGATGGGGCAGAACCAGCCCCCACCCCC